AAATTTGCTTATAATGGTCTTTCTGGAAAACAGGTGGCTTGCAAGAGCTTTTTCAGATTTATGTTCAGGCATTAGCTTCTCTAATGAGTCATCAAATAAATTGGTTTGTGCGCGATTTGTTGACTTGTGAGAAAACTAAAGAGAGTTCTCTTAGTAAGAAAGTACATGATGGTTTGGTTTTTTTCTTCTTAAGTAATTCTCCAGTGGCCAAGCACAAATGTAGAACAAAGCTAGCTCAGATATCCAGGAATCTTGATTGACATTCTCAGTTTTGCCTTGCTGGACAAAGAAACAAGCATGATGTCTGCTCCATTTATATCAAAGAATATCCTGTAGGAAAATGCTCTGCAAGTCTGAAAATAGTCCTCCCTTCACTGAAATTCATCGTGCTCAAAGTCTCTGTTTTTATTGAACTGTCTGCTTTAACTGGTGAAAGCCTTTCTCACATATTTGAAAGGTCAAAACAAACATAACACAAATCATCAAATTACTATTTAATTACATCTTATGGAGCATTGGGACTGTGTGCTCCATTCATCCCATGCATTTTTTCTACTGAAATGAAAAATTACTTTGACTTCCACTTTTTATTTTAAATGTATTAGTCCTCCTCTTTAGACATTACAGTTATTAATGCTCAGGCTGCTGCCATGGCTCTGAATTCTTATCACTCACTCAGCTGATATTATTACCCAGTCAAAGCTGACATCAGAAATGGTACCTTAATATTAGAGAAAGAAATCATGACTGGAATTATTCATAGCTTACACAGCATACACTATTTGGGAGACAAAGAACCAGCAGAGGTGGTTTTTTAATAAAAATTTATAGCCTGATCCAAAGTCAATACAAAAATTCCCCATGACTCCAGTAAATTTAGATTCTAACCCTACATAATGAAATTTAGGAGGGAGACAGAAGTTGTGTCCATAACCTCTCTTCTCTATTTTGATGTAATTTAACAGCACTGACAAGAAATTTATAAAAACACAGCAGAGATTTCTGGGTGTTTTCCTTGCAGAATCAAACAGGAGCCAGAGCAGCTTATGATACTAAAAAGCAACTGAAGGAGAGGGTAAGAATAATCACAGTATTTTGAAATTAGGTAAATAATAATTAAAATATATTGTGAATGAGCTAACATAAATCTCCTGAAACAATACTTCCCTAATACATCTTATATCAAAGAGAAAAAAATTATGCCTTCACTGTTAACAAATTTAAAAAGTGTAAAGGTGAAAAAGACCACACTTTCTCACTAGACACTTTGCTGCTGATGCAGCTACAGACATTGTTTCTCTTTCCCCCAGGTGGTTCCTCGCTGCTGATGTGTGTCTGACAAACCAAACTTCCTGAGGGACCTCTACTATGACGGTAAAATGGAGATGATACTGAAATCAGGAACAAGAAAATAGTGTGGAATGTGTTCTGCCACAGCTTTATATAAATACAAATTGGAAAGTTTGCTCTAAGCATATTTACTGAGTTGTAAAATCTTATGATAATGTGATTTTTCAACCTGTAATCATTCACATATGCAAAGCTATGAGATAGGAAGTTTTTATGGCAACAAAGTGTTAATGATCCTTTGAAGGCTCAGGATGACTAGGCAGGGATCAATACGATTATATATATTCAAGGAAGCTCCTCTGATTCCCAGCAACGTGGTTTTATAAAAGATTACAGGAGTTCTCAGAATTTTGTCCAGGTGGATATCTTCTTGGTTATCTTCTAAAACCAATAAAAGGGTATTTTGGCAGATACTTGATAACTGTCTTATTAAAATAGCATAATTAAAAAAAAAAAATTAGGATACAGAATGAGATGAAATGAGTCCAAACCTTATTCCAGAAGGAAGGTACCAGCTATGATGGAAGTGCTTTAAGACCAGAAACAGTCATGGCTCTCTTTGGCAGCATTTACTAAAGTTTTGAGTCATCATGATGGGTGACACCAACAGGTTTGTTGGTACTTGCAGTGATTTACATACAGTCTCATCATTAAAGAATTTGAATGACAACTGCACATGCTATTCCTCTGGTGACTTGGATGGTTAATTCTGTGCTTGACAATCTGCATGGCAATGAGCAGAAGCCTCCTTCAGCCATTTAAAGTCTTACAGAAGGTGTGGTTTTACACAGTATTTGGTTTTCTTGACGGCGTTATTTGATGAATACAACCAGGAAGAACAAGGCTGATGACATGCTAAGCCCACTATCAGTTTTGTCAGCTTAACAACATGGGAGCAAAGTCCTAAATGATTTGACTGGGTTTGTTGGAGCAGAAGCATTTTGAGAGTCCTCATTTACTAAATTGTCTTTGGACAAACTAAGACATTAATTGACAAGGATCCTGATGAAACATACTGACGTTACTCCTGTTTGAAGATATTGAGGCTAATTAAAATAGTCTGTTGTTTTGTGCTGCTTCTCTGTCAATGTTTTAGTTTTATTTAGAAATGTCAGCTGTTACTTAATTGCACAATGGATCAAGATTTAATTAGCAAGAGGGTTTTTTTAATAATTGAAGCTTACTGCTTAACAAAACAGTGATTGAAATATTTGATACTAGACATTATATCATGTGATATCTGCTTTTCAACTGGCTAATGATGACTGTGGTTAATCAGGCTGTTTTCACAATCCATAATTTTTGAAAGCAGCAAGTTTATAATGAAGACTGTAAAAACATGTTTTTTAAGCATATAAAACCGCTGAAATTCTTGTTACTTATTTAATAATTTGATTAAAATCATGTCATTATTATATCATGTTAGTAAGTGTCATGGGTTTTCAGCTGTGTATTGGAAGACTGATTTTGCAGGATGTTTGAATCAGATTCCCTGTGGTATTTTTTTTCCCTTTTTATTGCTTTTGCAATGGAGTCATGGAGCAATCCACTAATAAAATCTATGGGCTGTTTGTTATATAAATGTATTCATCTAGTTTAATTTGAGTCAGTAAAGAGAACCAGTAGAAGTCAGTAAAAATGGTAGCACTTATAGGACAGTTGGTAGGACATGTGGAATTCTCTTCTTATAAAAGACGTAATTTTTGGTTTTTTAAGCAGTAAATTGTTCACTAATATTTTGGGGAAAGGAGAATGACATGCACATTACCTTAGCAGGGTCTCTGACAATGACACACCTGTAGCAGGCTACTATTAAAAGATTGTAAAAGCATTGACAAGACAAGCTTGCAGGCTTTATTTCTTTTTTTGAACGTGCTTTTTCTTCCTGTATGTTGTCACTGGTAAATTAAACCTTGATGAGTCTCTTGTTTAAAAACACTTGCTGACTACTCATTTAGGCTTCCTGGCAGGAAGAAGTGCAGATGCTACGGAACAGCTGCAGCCACACCTGCTAGCTGCCCATGCACAGCTGGTTTGCAAGGCTGAGGAGTTCAGGGCACGGTCTCCACGCAGCGAGCTGCCAGGGAATGGGCCAGAAAGCCAACAGCAGTACAGAAAAACTGTATTTATTTCATGGACTTGTTCTGTGAAATCATTAACATGAATGCAAGTTGTTCCATGGAAATATAACATAAACATAGTTTAAAAAATTAATTTAAAAATTAATGACACACAGTTGATCTCTGTGTCCAGCCTCTGCTGTGAGACAACGTGATATTTATAAGTTGCATATAGACTCAAGATGTTATTTCACATCATAAGATTATATTATATATATATTATGTATCTAAGATTATATAGATCATAGATCTATATAGATCTATATAGATATATATCCACAGATTTTTATATATATACATATGTAAGTGTTGATATACAGATATAAATATATATATATAGATATATAGATATCTATACCTATATGTATATCTATATCTATATCTATCTACACACTAGGACTTGTGAACACCTTATATGTGGTTAATTGGGATTTTATTTTACAGATAATGTAAGTAAAAAGGAAAAATGAGACCCTTAACATGAATTATAACTACAATCCTTGTCAAGAGATAAACATTTTACCTGGCTATGTATAAATCCACATTTACTGAAAAGTGGAAGATGAGTAATGTGGGAAAGAAAAAGGTAACATATAATATGCAAATACTGTAAAGGCAAATGTTTTCATATAGAAATGTCACCAAATGCAATCATTTTCTTGTATGAAGACAAAAATGTAAATAAAATTACACCTTACAAAGAGAGAGAGAGAGAGAGAGAGAGAGAGAGAGTCAGGCCATCTCTTATGAAAAGACATTTCCTACTGCCATCTAAAACTTAATTTTTAACTCACTGATTACTTGTTGCATAAACTGTCACATTAGCCTTCCTTCAAAAATTGTGGTGATGAGGACATTGCTTCTGAAAGAGCTCTAGTTCAGAACACTCAGGAAGAAGGTTTTCTCAGAATCTGTTCATTTTCTGTAATTTTTGCAACATCTAAATTTTACTGCGCTAAGCGTGTAATCCTTTAAGAGACCTCTGTGCCCCAGCAAGGTAAGAAATAGGCCTGCCTGTGAACTTCAGATGGATTTACCCTAAAGGGCTAAATCTTTGAGCTTTGATCTGGTGATAGCACTTTTCCCTTCCTTGAAACAACTGATGCATTTCCCTGAACTGCTGTGAAGTCTCAGGTTATCAATAATGGCAGCTAGCAAATTCCTGTAAGAATTGCTGAGTTCCAGACAGAATCCCACAGAGATGAGCTTCACTGTGAGCACTACAGGGGACAGCTCTGCAGCTCATTTCTTCTCCTTGACCTTCTCTTCTGTTTTAGATGTGCAAATGATGCTGTTCTTGAAATTGTAGATAAACTGTTTAAATTATCAAAAATTAAATTGTTATTTTTTGCATTAACTAACTTCACTTTTTGTGATGTTGTTTGAGACGTAGGCATCCAGAGGTGACAGAGAGGTAAATAAAGCAGCAGCTTCTCAGTATCTGTCCTGAAGTTGGACAAATACAAGACTAAGGTCTCAAATGCAGTTCCGCAAATGGAGAGAAAAGAAATGCTGCAATTATTNCTTAGGGCAGAGCCATGAGGCGCGCGGGGCTGGGTAAGCGCGGCGGCGAGGCCGGGCCGGGCCGCGACACGGGCGGGGCCCGGCCCCTGTCAGGGCTGGGGACGCGGGAGGCGTGAGGGGCTGTGAGGGGTGAGGGGCTGTGCCTGTGGGTGCAGGGTTGTGGCAGGGCTCGGGAGCTTGGGCGGAGAAAGGCACCCCTGCCTCTGCCTCCCCTTCTGGCCCAGCTGGACTTACGGAGCAGGTCTAGGGTTTGTGTTTTATCATAGAATCATAGGATTTGGTGTGGAAGTGACTTCAGAGACCATCTGGGTCCGCCCCCCTCCCATGCCTTACTCAGGTTGCTCTGAGGCCCATCCAGCCTGGCCTTGAACACTTCCAGCGATGGGGCATGCACAGCTTCTTTGGGCAGCCTGTTCCAGTGTCTCACCACTCTTGCAGTAAAGCATTCTTTTCTAATGTATTTAAATCTAATGTCTTTCAATTTGAACCTATTCTCTTTACCCTGTCACTACATGCTCTTGTAAATAGCCTTGCCCCATTTAGTTGTGCTGTTGTTTATTTGTTCTAACACCTAAATGTTAATTTGAGCTGTATTCCCATGGATAGGCAGATTTGTTGTACTTTCCAAATTCAGAAATTGTTCATTTGTTTAGTTTTTTTAAGTACTTCTGCATGTTTTCCTACCATGTTTAGGGATTAAACAACCAAGGACCCCAAATATTATAAATTTATTACAGATATAATCTGGTGCAAATTGGGAAGTCCTTGCAGAGTTCCTGCTGAGTTTTTTGAGCAGCTGAGGCCTCATTTTTCAGCCAGCAGTCATGATGATGACTAGAAGGAAACTTTGAACTCCCACGTCATGTTCTACAACCATGTGGGTGCTGTGACGGCACTGTAAAGCTTAGGAGATGTTTACACTTCTGAAATGTATGACTGAGTTCTGGGGCTTCCTCCTAGAAAGGATGCAGGGCTAAACCAGTTGTGTCTGACACTGCCCTAGATTTTCTCTACACTTCAGATTTGTATTGTGCAGTAGTATTTTTATGAAATAAAACAAGTTTTGGGAACACCCCTTAGTGAATTAAAAGAGGTGTTAGGATGTTTATCATCCAAAAGTGAACATTTGATAGTGCTTAGGTCTTCAGTCCTTTCCTTTGCCAGACTGACAGCTCCCTCTTGGTTGGAGTGCAGGCCACCCAGCTGTGTGCTGTTTCTGAAGAGGGGATGGATGTTTATGCAAGAAGTTCAGAGGAAAAAGCATGCCTGCTTTTAGTCTGACTAGCAAACAATGCCTTAAGGATCATACTGAAACTATTTTGAAAAAAAAACCTTCTGGAAGGTTAAACAGAACACTTAAACATCTGCTACCAGCTGCAGCAAATTTTTCTGCTTTATCTTGACATTCCAGCTGTCACTTCAGAACTACTTTTTATTTAATAGGCTGGAAATAGAAGCTGGGTACCAGCACTTCTGCAGTTGTCACCAGCTAACTGCTACCTCTCTCTTAGCCTGCAATTATATTCAGTCATGTCCCTGTTACATGTCAATGAGCCGTGTAGCAGGACAGCCCATAGAACTGCCACGCTGAAGTTTCTGTGCTTCCCAAGTAGCCAGGCTTCTTCCTTGTGCTTCCTGTGACAGATTCCAACAAAAAGAAGCATCTGTGCCTGTTGGGAAGCTTTGGGGAACTTGTTTGTGTCTGCATTGTCACAGGCCATTTAAGACAACCAGTTTCAGTGTTTTGGCCTGAAGCTGTGTGGTATATTAACTTATAATAATAAGTCATCTGTCACTTGGTAGGAAGCAGTGTAGTTAGATGCACTTGTAAAATCAGACACAGTGGGAACAACCCTGACTCTACAAATCATAACATTTTAGTTACATTTCTGTGTTAGGTATTGGTACTTTTAATTTAGGTCAGGGTAAAAAGGCTTCTTGACTCACTGTGATGAAATAAAAACATGTATTTCATTGCAGTCTACAATTTCCTGGTAAGGGGAAGAGGAGGGGCAGGCACTGGTCTTTTCTCTTTGGTGACAGGACCCAAGGGAGTGGCCTGAAGTTGTGTCAGAGGAGATTTAGGTTGGATATTAGGGAAAGGTTCATCACCCAGAGGGTGGTTGGGCACTGGAACAGGCTCCCCAGGGAAGTGTCACAGCACCAAGCCTGACAGAGTTTTAGAGGCATTTGGACAACACTGTCAGGCACAAGTGCCTTGTAAAGATGGTTCTGTGCAGTGCCAGGAGTTGGACTTGGATGATCCTTGTGGGTCCCTTCTAACTCAGAAGATTCTGTGATTCAGTCTTGTTGAAGATCTGTCTAGCTTAACTTACAGAGTAACAATTTACAAGTGTGAATAAAAAAAATCTTCATTACTTAGGTCTAAAGGATGACCTAATGGGTAAATATAAAATATCAAAATAGCATTGTAATGCTCTATTTTAAAATACTAATATTATGTATGCCAACATAGAGTGAAATTCTCTGAGACAGAGCTCTCAATGTGAATGTGCTTGGTGTCTCTTCTGTACTTTTTTCCTCAAAATCAAAAAATCCACCCAAACACAAAAGTCTTTAAAGTGTATTTAAAAGGCATGCAATTTTAGTGTGCTATTCTGACTAGACAAGAAAATATGTTTCTATTTAAAAAATATTTATTAATGTAACTGGATTATTAGTTGAATTAATCTAGTGGGATCTAAGGATCCCATCCATAAAGCTTATAGTAGTTCTTTTCTGATTGCCTTTCTAATTCTTGATCTCTTATCATTGTTTTAAATTTTTAGATTGGAGGTCTGAGACTAATTTTTGTCTTGACTGGACATGACTAATTCTCCTGTGTCTATGCTGCTGTCTGTAGGGACAGACAGATCTTTATTAGATGTTGGAGGCAGTGAATGTGTGGGGCTGAGCAGCTTTCATTCCCCTCTGCCCCTCATACTGTGCTGACTCAGTTGTCTGGAGGACAGCCCTAAACGTCCATCACCCACAAAAAAAAGGCAGGAGAGAGAACAGAACTGCAGAATGGTGACTGAAGCAGCAGTGCTCTGCTCAGAGGCCTGGTTCTGCTCTAAGGTCTTGTTTATAAAGAAACTCGTGTGATCATAGTACAGTTTCTTCTTTTAATGTGTGATCAAGTGGTATTTTTCTTTGTTAGAGAATGGTCTCCACTTTCCTATTTTCAGTTTGATTTACCACACGTAATGGCCTCAATGTTTTCTTCACATCTCCATGAAGTGCCTGGATTGATTTCCAAAGAACTCATCTACAAACATTATCACGGAAAAAAAAATTACAGCCATTCCTTAGTTTCTCTTGTTTTATTTGCATATTGAAGGGTAACTTGTGCATTTAAAAGAAGGTTGAGTCCCTGTTCCAGGAGCACTTGCTGCAGTGGTGTTGTGTGTCTCTGGCTACTGTTGTGTTTACAGGTGATGGAGCAGCTGCAGGGAGCTATGGCTATACCAACAGTGGCTACAGTGTTTATGAAGAAGAGAATGACAGGTTAACAGAAAGCCTGCGTACAAAAGTCAGTGCCATCAAATCGGTACGTATTTAACTACAGAGCTATCACCACATTCAGTACATTCAATATATGAATCAGGGAAGCAGTAGACTTAGTTTAAAACCCAAATTTACAACTATGGTGTGTTAACCTGGTTGGATGTCAGGTGACCACCAAAGCTGCTCTATCACTCCTCGGGTGGATGGACAAGGGAAGAAAAGGTAAAATAAAAGGTTCATGCATCACTGTAAGGGCAGGGAGAGATCACTCACCAGTTATCATCATGGGCAAAACAGGCTCAACTTGGGGAAATGAATTTATTGACAATCAAATCAGTAGGGTAATGAGAAATAAAACTTAAAATGCTTTACCAGTATCTTTCCATTTTTCCTGGGCTCAGCTTCACTCCCAATTTTCTCTACTTCTTAACCCTCAGTGATGCAGGGGAATGGGGAATGGGAGTTGCAGTCAAAAAAATATGTAATGTGAAAACAGCTCTTAGAAATAGCATGCTAATATCCTCTGAAGGATAAGTTTGGTAAAGTCTGGTGTTCTGATGTTTCTGATTCCTTTCAGAGATTGAGGACTTCTTTCAAACAAGTCTAACTGAAAGACAGCTCTGAGATTAAAGTTTTGTGGATTTCTTGTTCTTAAAGTTATTAAATAAATTCTTATTAATAAATATTAAATATTAAATAAATTATTAAAGTTTTATAAAGCACATTCCATTGAATTTTTTAGACCTGAACTCACTCAAAATCTTTCTGCTGATGCTGTTGCTCAAAATTAGTTTAGTCTCAAAGAGAAATTTAACAGGTTTAGAATAAGAATTTGGAGCAAGTTAAAGGGTAAAAAAACCAACGTTGAGCTTTGTTATCAAATTTAATTTCTTGTCTCCTGCTATGGTATGTTACATTTCAAAATCTGTGTATGTCAACAGAGCAGTTCATGGTGCCCCAAAGAGCTCCTTCTGGAGTTGCATCTTTTAGTGTAATGAGATAATTTCGGCATTTGGAATAACCTTCACATAATCTTCCAAGAAGCCTCATGTGAAATCAGTTTCACTCTTGATTGAAATGCATCAGTATGAGATAATGAGATTCAGGTTTTGACATGTGAAAACAAACAGGTTTTGGCTAATCCAAAGCATGGAGGCCTGGAGTGCGCTTCCCTCCATCCCAGGAGTTGTGCAGGTTGTTCAAGGCCAGTGTGCTGATAATAGAGGAATAGACTCTCTGCAAAGAGTCAGGCTCAGTGCCAGTTCTCTCCTGTTTAACTCCAGAGCTGCTTTAAGCCAAGGCTTCTCTGGCTGGCTCCCACCTTTGTGATGCAGCAGCTGTGTTGCAGCTCCAGCTGTGCCTGGTCTCATACCTCCCTGATTCCAACCCTAACCTGAGTTCATTTTCTGGCTCTGTCTCAGGCTTCTGCCCAGGCCATTGCTGGCCATGGTCACTGTCTCAGGACTGGCTCTACCTGGTCTGTGCAGCTTTCCTCCTTGTCCTGCAGTGCCCTTCTGTTCTGTGACACAAAGCAGAGAAGGGCTACACAAGTCCACTGAAGAAAGTCCCGTTTATAGCACAGCAGCAGCTTCTCAAAAGAGATGTGTTAGCAGGTTACAAGCATCTACTCCAGCAACACTTAGAGTCAAACCAGTGCTCATTCTCTCTGCTGTGTGCCAGCAGTTTTAACAGTTGTTCCAGGAAATGGGTGATTGCTACTTCAGACTTGACTAGATCTTGAGTTTTTAAAAGTCCATGCAATAGTTGAAGTAAGATATTATCTGGAAAAGGGGAAGAGGAGCATTGAGTACTTTCTGTGACTCTTCAGACTCATCTAGTCAGATGAAAAAATATTTATTTCCTTAAAGGTTATTGATAGAATACTGTGCATGTTATTTTGGTTTTTGAAAATATGATGTGTTACTTTCACTGGGGAAATGCTAGTCATGTGATGTATTTTCAACTCGGTTCTCTAATCGATGTGTTAAATGATTATTCATATTTAATACTTCTTGGTTTTCAGTTGTTCGTTGTTTTTTTTTTAGCTTTCCATTGAAATTGGAACAGAAGTTAAAAACCAGAATAAAATGTTATCAGAAATGGTAAGTGTTGAGTAACTAGCTTTCATTAAATATGGGTCAGGATTAGAAGTTAATAATGTAAAGCATCCTGTCATTTAGTATGAACATTGGTATTATAAAAAAATAATAAAGTTTTTGTTCAGGTTATTGTTTACTGTGACATGTGATTTGTCAGCAGTATCAGTATTTCTGTTCAAAAAGATAAGATGTGCTCTTAAGGCACAGCCAAGATCTTTATGCCTCAGTAATGAGTATAGGTTTTCAATTAGAAAATGTCTAGTATCATTAAAAATGCACTTCTGTATTTAATTGTATTCAAGAATAGAAGAAGGAAGTAAAAAATAAGGGAGTCAGAAATGCTTTCTTTGCTTACACTTTGCTTTGGCTTGGGGTAAAAATAGCACTGAATAAATGGGTGAAAGTTTTTCCTGGTTGATTTTTGCCTGTAAAATAATTTTAATTTTGGAAACTTTGAAGAAAGCTATATTTAGTAAGGGTATTTCTTTTCTCAAAGTAACATGTTTTTGTTCTTTTGTTTGCTTGTTTTTTGTTGTTTTTTTTTTTAAATGTAGGAGAATGATTTTGACTCTACGGGTGGACTTCTAGGTGCAACTATGGGCAGACTGAGAACACTCTCCAGAGGAAGCCAGACAAAGCTATTATGCTACATGATGCTCTTTTCATTATTTGTTTTTTTTGTAATATACTGGATTATTAAACTGAGGTGATGCATGTTACCTCTGGTTTACACTGACTAATTTCAACTGTAGTCTTGGTTACTGAAGACATTGATTTAAAGTGGCACATTTTGTGGATGAAACAGTGGAATTGTTGTAAATTGCATTAACAATTAATGCGAAGTTATATATAGTTTTCTTAATGTATCAGACTTTTTCCATCATCCCCTTTTTTGGGGGGATTATTTGTAAATATGCAGAAACTACTAGAGTAGTGGGATGGATTTTTTTAGGGGAAGATAGATTTTAGAATTGATTGAAAAAATTAAAAGAACGATGGTTATTTGAAAAAAGTAATTGCAGAATTTCAAGGCTTTTTTTTCATTCTGTTTTCATTCTGGGCCATGCTCTAAATTAGAGCTCCGGTTTCAAGCATATAGTAATTCCAGTTGCAAAAGCATAAAGAATATGTGGATCTTTCTAAATAGATCTTACCTGTGGATTTTTAAAAGGCTGGCCTGAAGCTAGCAAATGTAATAGTGGTATCCCCAAAAATTACTTCCTGATGTTTAAGTAGTTTAAACTGCATGTTTTGGCAAGAAGTTACTTAAAACTGGATTTTTATTTTTTAATTTAAATGTGATAGATTGTGTTTACACATCTACTCTTCTTAGCAAATGCCTTTCATCATTGGGACCAACCAATATGGACACAGTACAAATATTTTCTTTATATTTAAAGTATTTAAAATTGAAATGATTCTATTGAATCACTTGAACTTTTACCATTAGTATGTTTACTTTTTAATTAATGATAGTCCCTAAATCTACAGTGCATGATGTCTGAAATACAATGGCAGATATTTGGAATTTTATATTAAAGTATATTATGATGCATTTGTTGGAGGTGCAGTCACATTAAGGTACTTTATTTTGAAATCTTTGGCTCACCAAGTAGTTTCTAATCATTGAGGCTATTATATTGCTGAGTTTAACATTCAAAAAAATTAAGTTTCCTAGATATTGAAATTGTATCTATGATTTTTGAAAAACTTTTCTAGAAATACTGTATGATGTGTTACCATTAATAACCAATTATAAACTTACAAATAAAGTGTCCTGTAGTGTTATCCTAGCTAGTGTTGTTTGTATACATTTTTTTCTACTGTAGAATAGTATCTTTTTTAAATGGTGCTGTATTTAAGGGGCAATTTTTATTTTTTTAATCAATAACACAGGCTGCATCTTCCAGCTTAAATGGCTGTTTTAGGAAGACTTTAAGTAATTATGCACAGTTTTCATATTAATGTGTTTATTTTTAATATTTTTCTTAATAATTACACACAAAACATGGTACATTGCTGCTGAAGTTCAGGCCTCCACAACACTTAAACAATTGTTTGTGGAAGTCTGCAAATAAAAATTTAACACTACTCCCATGACCAGAAGTCCATGACAGAGTGGAGTACAAATTGATAGGGATTTGACAAAGATGACAGAGCACATTTTGATGATTGCTTGCTAAAAGTGAAAGATAGGGAAGGTACCTGTAATTGAGAGGAAAGGCACTGTTCTGGGGTTTGATTATGGCAGGGATTCGTTTGTGCCATAATTGTTCACTTTGAAAGCGAAGCCATACTGAAATGAGATCAAGCTACATAGCTTCCATTCATATGGAAGTTCTGTTTCGTAATTGTCAGCTTAGATGCTCTAAAGTGTAGATAAAGCTTGATTAAAGAACACATTTTTTTCTGTGTGCTTAGCATGGGTCATTGGAAAACTTAACCCACTGAAAACATGGAATATAGGAGGCCGCAAACTTTGAGTGCTTCATATCAACAAAAATTTGACACAAGAAAATAGAGTGGTAATGGTGAAAGACCTTGATTTGCATTTTGATGGCAAAATTACTGATCTCTTTTCCACTCAAAGCATACTGCCTGCTCATCACCTTCAGTGTACAGCACAAGTCATGCTCTTGCTTTCTTAATTTTCAAGGAAGAGTGGAGATGCATCACTTTCTTGGAAGTATATCCATGTATTTGCATATGATGGAAAGCATGGTTTCGTCTGTGCCCCCTCCTATTGACATCAGTCTCAAGTCCCTGCAGAAATATAAAGGGTGCATTTATACATTTGCATGCTGTTGTGATGGTGCCAGCTGGACAGCTTGTCCAGAATGACGTACACATTGCATACAGATGCCATGTGCCTGCAGAGCCCTCATCCACTGGCTCCTGGGCAGGTGGTCTGTGGTGCTTCCCACAGCAGCCCTGCTGCTCCTGTCCTAAACCTGTAGGTGCCTAAGCCCGCAGTTGAACTGTAGGAGGGGAGGGAGCTTTTCCAGGGCCAGCAGCAAAAAGTGTTGCAGCACTTAAATTTGCTTAACTGTCATAAAAGAGTTGACCAGCACTTGAGGTACTGGAGAATTGCATGAAAACAGTACAATTTCCATCCATTCCATTCCATTCATTCATTGGTTTTTAACCAATCCAGGTTTTCCCAATGGCTATGTAAGATCTCATAAAAGCCTTATTAGTATTATATAGTACCTTAATGTTACATAGTTTCTGTGTAGTATTCTAGTATAGTTTTATATAATCTATAGAGCTTCTGTGCCACTAAATGATCCCTAACAGTATTGCCCAAGTTCCCTGTGCTAGCCAGAGTGCTAACTACTGCAGCCTCGAGCAGTTTTACTCACAAATTTTGACCTCCTTTGGGGAGACTTAAAAACCACTATCAATAAAACTACCAGAACAATTCTGAACTACCACTGCTTAGTAAGTTGAAGATTCCCCACCTTTCTATGGGCCTTGCTGAAGGCAGCAGACCTGGAACACTGTTAGGTTGCTTGTTCTTAGTGCTGCAGTGCTGTCTGCTTTGTCAAGCTGCCGAAAGACCCTGCCAATGCCCAGCATTTGGCATCTTCACTGTAGCAACAGCAAGTAAGTAATCCACAGAACTCCCCTGTGATGTCAATAGAAATCCCTGCTCTGCTGCAGGAATCCTGGACACATGGGGCTTGTTCATATGAAGTTAGAAATAGGCAGTGTAAGATCTGGCTTTGGTGGTGTGTGTGACAGACAAGTCAGGCTGTCACATATAAAGACACATCTCAAAAAAACAGAACAGTTTTTGTATGTTTTGTGCTTGTGTGTATCTTTACAAATTTGCCAATAATTATATTTTTGTCTCTGTGGGTGAGATAAGGAATATTTCTTACAGAGTCTATAGCCAGGTGACTATTGCTGATCTCTCCTCTAGGGAGACAGTACAGAAGGTTTCCCCTAATTTAAGTGGACTGTGACAAAAAACTCAAATGATTTTAATCTAGCAGCCCTCTTCTGGGAAAGAAACTTGCTTTTATCATAAGAAAACAAAACCATGGGATTAACTATCTTACTAGAAACTCTATAAGGAAGCTGGGGAAGAGGACACAGTAAAGTCAGCTTGTGTATCAGGTATTTAATGTATGCTTGTGGTTTGATAGTTTATATTATATAAACTATATATATATATATTCAATATATATAAATACTGGAAGTAAATTGCTTTTTTAAGGGCATTGTTAGGCTACTGTTGTAAAGGCTTTTGATCTGGCACAGTAACATTTTGCTTTTGATTTCTGCATCACCTTTTTGTTGCCACATCCTGAACTGCCTGCAGCCCTGCTGAAGTGAGCACCAACCTGTGGTGGCTTCCCCCTGACCAAAGACCACGAAAAACCAGCCAGCAGCACACCAGGCAGTTTGTAAAGGTGTCATTTTGAGGGACCAAACCTGTAGCTACTTGTTGAATGTCACTAAATGCTGCTTTCTTTAGATAGAGTGGGAGTTAACCTGAGGAAGGAGAGAAATCAAACTACTGTGTTCTATCCCTCTAAAATATTCCCTGTGAAGAGTTTCCTTACATTTGGGAAATCCCATGTGTCTGAAATACTAACTGTAGATTATAAGACTTCACTCAACCAAATCAAGAGATATAAATGGTAAAAATTAATCCATGTTTTAATGAATAAAAGCAAAATATTCTTCAATGTCAAGTTAAAAAATTGCACTTAGGGAGGGTGAGGAACTATTCCCACCCACCAAACTCATTCCAGGTTATCAATAACTTGTAGTTAGGTAGCAACAGGGAAAAAAAACCCTCCAGCTAGAAAATCATGTTTTCTCTCTCCACAGAAGCCATGTCAAACAGCCTTCAGGAATGTGTCAAGCATTGCTTGAAGGAGAAACAAGAAGCTCCCTTTAACCTTGGACTACCTAAATTTGAAGGTTATGAAATAACAATGTTGTTCTAATGATTAAGAACCCTCTGATTTACAGCCTGAAAATGTATTTCTGAATAGTGTCATCTAAAAGAGTCTGCAGTTTAACATTCCTCTCTTGGCTCATGCTGACCCCTTTGCACCCTGAGTGACACTTGGACCTTGTTTTGCATAAGGTAAGCCATATCTATTACCTGCCCCTAAAACTTCTGGTCCCAGTTTTCCTGAAAATTTGGTCTGGTCCTTATCCCACTCTGAGCTCTCCCTTGTGTGTGATTTCCCTAAGCATAAAGCAGGGACAGGTACCCATTCACAGCACAAATAAAATTTTACACCTTGTAATGTGCTAAATGCAGCTCATGGCACCTAAATCTGTAGCTTCAAGCTGGTAAAATGTGGTTGTGTTTGCAGCTGTGCCTTCTTGCAGAACCATTTATTACCTACCTGTACATTTATTGCCTACCTAGCTGAGCCTACTCTGGGAGCTGCTCTACACTACATTTTCATCTGGAAAACCATATGGAATTGGACTGAAGCCCCTTCTGTTCCCAAACCATCTGAGAGGAGCCTGCTGCACTATCCATGGTGCAGGTGTCTTCAAGAAACTTCAAACTGCTGCCAAAATAAACCAAGAAATTTTCTTTCCCTTTTCTGGAAGTGACCAGGGCCGGTCAGAAACAGGGAAAAAAAGCGAGTTTTGGTTACTTAAACCCTGGTTTCCCCTAATAGCCTGGCTTTATGGCAGCAGTCCCTCAGAGATGCTGCTCTCCACTTCCCTGGTTAGAAGGCCTTCGGTTAATCCTTACCAAGGTTTGCAAGGCTCAGAGTAGCACTCCTTGCCAGGCCATTTATTCACTGCTTCTTTTCAGCACAAACTGCACTTGAGAACTATTAGCCTTCTTTCCTCATAACTAACGATTTTTAGGTTTTAACTGTTTTAAGGTTTTATTACTGGCACAAATTTTCTCCAAAAAATTTACTGATGAACCCTCAAGCCTAATATTTTGTGACATATGTCTTCAGACTCAGCTAGATTACTATAGGCTGCCTAAATTAAACGGAATCTGAAAGAGGCTTTTTTCTAGAGAGAAGAGTTTGAGCTGGTGCCACTCAGTACAGCAGGCCTCTGACCAGGCTGGCACTGGCCACAGCTGTGCCTGCCAGATCCCATGATCCAGTCCCTTCCCCCTCAGGGACACTCTGAAGGCCAAGATGAGGGAATGAGCATCACCTTGGCCTGCTCTGAGCATAATGCAGAGAGTAGAGCATAGCTCTACTTTAAAGTCATCACCTGCTTTGATTTGCTGTCTTTAAGTCAGATGTCATCTTCATCTCCTAAATTCCTTCTCAAGGTACTCGTACAAGTCAAACAAAGTGGTGGACAGGCAACTCTCTCAATGTCACTGCAGAAAAAGGTGTAAACTGCAGATTTTGTTTCACAGATGGCAGGAACTGGTATTAAGTCTTGTCTCAGAAGTTAGCTACAGGCTTCAAAGCAAATTGCTTTTGTCAGCAGAAATTGATAGGTTTAATTTTGTTTGGTACAACTATAAATTTCTATAATGAAAAAACACTCATTAAAACTCCCAATTGTCTGGACTCACTCAAGTTTAGACATGTTTTGTGAAGAATGAAAGACTACAAACAATGAAATAAAAAATGAAACAGAATGAAGTATTTGAACTAACTTTAAATATGTGAAGGAAAAAAACTAGATGGAAATACATTCCTAATTAAAAAAAAATCCACTTAAAATTATACAGAAGTTTGTTTTTTAACTATCCTCAATTACAAATAGACCTTCATATTGCAATAACTATGTGATAGTTGAGGAGAAAAATAAAAATGTGTTTCTTCTGCAGCTATGCATTTGCAATGCTACTTAGAGTTCTATTTCACATGAGTAGTCAGTATTTTTCACTATTGCTTTCTTGAGTCTTTCACAAAGTAGCCAGTAAAGAAATGTTCACTTCTCCCTATCACAGCCCACAAGAGAGAAACTTCTAAGAATTCAAAGCAGTTAAACATGGTGTTTAGAAGTTGGTAATAATCTTAATTAAAAAAAACCCGAACAAACTAAACTCTTCTAAGACCATGTAAGTTCTTCCTATAACAATTGAAATGCACATAATTACTATTAAAATATATGGATTAGCACCTGAAAATTTTTAAAACTCATGAAATCTGAAAAATTGCAATAAACTTGATACTCAAAGTTTTCTTTCCTCTGATCTCACTTAACCTGGTTTTTTCATACAGATCATGGGTTTGTTCAGTCACGATGTCTTTAAGGCCTTTCAGACAGAGGAGAGAAAAATAAACAAGCGTGACTCCAGGCTAGTGCTTTCATTCTCCAGAATCCTGCTATGACAGGGTGCAATTTGGAAAGTCCATTTCTTTATGGGTTTTATATTGGCTTGTTTTTTTTCTATGAACCTTGTGATATTTGGGCTTTAAGCTTCTTTTTTTAATTTTTTTTTAATTAACCTAATATTAGAATCTATACAAGTAAGACATTTACATATGTAAAATCAACCCTGTATAGAAATCTACGTGGTGAAGCAGCTCTCTTCATGCTTTCTAGAGAAAAGGCACTTAAGAAATACCAGTTGTTCTACAATGTTTAAAATGTTAATGATTAAATGTCAGATATTAATAAAGTAAGTTGGCAAACAGTTTTGTGCCGTTTCCGTTTATGATCTTTAACTGACACTAATAACTAAAATTCAGAGACTTCATGCACTAACTGTGCTGTGTGTTCTTTGAGGAGTAACAGCCTGATGTGTCAAAGACTAACCAACATTTCTTTGGGAACTTCATAAATTATGCTACAAAAATGTTTGTACATTAGGACTAGATGTTCTGCTGTGCAATTATAGTGCTCCTACTGGACAAACATCACAGTGACGTGAATGGTTACTCAGATTGCTCTACTAAAAAGAACGGCTTTAGGGAAGTTGCTGCTTTACGTATTGTTACAGATTAACAAGATTCTGACTTGAACATATAACTGTTTATTTAGGTAAAACTCTCCTTGTCCCTTTCTGGACCTTTGGTTACTCAGTGATGGAATTTTAGTGATTCATAGAAAATTTTAGAGTATAAATATCACACTGTCTTTAGAGTAATTTATAACAGTGTTTGTTTTAGAGGAACACTCTTTAGCCAGCTGACTGTGTACATCAACAGGAAACACTCTGGATTTTTTTCTAAGGAAAAATGTGACTGTGCTGGTATACTTGGAAATCACTCTGGAATCTACAGAGAAAAGCCCTGCTCACAGCACTACTATACTGGGCTAGGAAATCTTAAAACAAAGCTACGTAAAAGCATGTACACATTAACAGCCTACAAGATTTACAGTAAGTGCTGCAAGACAGGGATTCATGTTACTCAGAGTGCCTACTGCAGTAGCTCTTAACACCTCCATCACCAGTGACCATTAGTTGTAAAAATAAGGCTGTGAAAAAATAACTAAGGAAAGCCATCATATTGACAGCTGGCTTAAAACCACTATCATAAAGCAGTCTGTACCTTTGTAAGAAAATTTCAAGAGTCCACTTGTCAAAAATATTAAGGATTTCTTGACTTACTGCAACGGCATTCTTGTTCATAAAATGCTATGAAAAATAGAAAAAGTAACTCAACCTACCTAAGAAGAAACAAACTTTTTGCAGATTTTCTCAAGTGTTCTGCTCTCACTTTACACAGACTTGTTTATCAAAACTTTCAACTAAGTGAACCACCAATTTGGCCAACTTTGGATTAGGTACTGCCTATGTAAGGGCTGAACAGAAAGCTATTACTGCAAGAGAATCCAAGGTCAATTTTGGTCCTTCTCCAGAATATAAGACACTGAGGCCAGATACCAAGAAAACTGTTTCCTCAAGGAGAATTTTGTTCTAAATAGACAGAGACTTAAAATTTGAAGGGACTTCAGCCAATTTGCCAAAAGGCCTCTGTACCATTTTAATGATCTAACGACTTTCTGGAAGCAATTACATCTCTCGTATGTCTCACATGGTATCTGATGTGACTAAGCGGGTGGAGACTGCTATCAGAACAGACTACTGCAGAAGCCAAGTGGTGAACTCCAGGTTCACACATATCTGGGGAAAAAGATAAAGTTGATTTTCATTCATTTTAGAAGAAAGATTCTGGTTTTAGTTCTGTTCTTGTCATCGAGATTACAAGCAAACAAAAAGCAAAGAGAAAAATATCACTGGTTGGTAGCTCTCAATTTTTTCCCCTCTTTTTTCTACTCTGCGGTAGATACCAGAGGACCATCAGGGAAAAATACTGAGTGTTTCTCTTTCATTTGACATTTAAGCTAACCTGTGAGTAGTTCAAACTTCCCAACTGTAATGCAAAGCCAAGACTTGGCAAAAGAATAGTAAGTTCCAACACGTGTCTACCCAAAGCTAATGGCACTGGGTGTCTGTGAGTCCACAACCCACTTCAGTGATATGCTATGAAGCAGAACAAGACCATTCACACTGGTGAGGAGCTGGTGTTCTTTGCAAGTAGGTGATTGTTTAACAAGACATCTAAGAGGCTAAATTTCAGATAAAGCCATTTTGTATTTTCATCACTCCCTTACCTGTAAAACCTGCTCACGAGAACTTCACTGGTGAATCCCATTCCTCCCCAAAACTGGAGACAGCTATCAGTGACTTCACGGGTCAGACGACCTGCCTTTAGCTTAGCCATGGAAGCAAATTTTGTCACATCGTTGCCTTCTACATAGAGAGCTAATAAAAAAAGAGATAAAAAAGCAGTCACTCTGGAAACCACCTCCCCATGTTCCTATAGCCTGACAAGGTTCTTTGCAGGAAGAGAAGCACATCTGGGGAGCAGATGTGGGAGCTCACCCACGGCACGGTGCAGCAGCGAGCGCAGGAGCTCCACTTCAGTTGCCAGCTCAGCCAGGCGGAAGTGCACGGTTTGGTTGTGCAGGACAGGCTGGCCAAACACCTTCCGCTGCTGGGTGTACTCAATGGTTTCTTGTATAATAGTTTCCATTGGTGTCAGGGCTGGAAGAAACAAAGCACAAAACAAGACAGCATTTTAGCCAGATCTGATTAGCTTCTTGTTGAAAAAGAATTTTTTTTCACATTACACAACCAACACGTTAGGTTTTTTTAAGCAAATTGATACACTTTGTACACTCAGTTTGGGGTGAAGCTTAAATTCTGAGTCCAGTACCTCCTGGTACCTTGAAGACATCTATCTCACTTGAGCCCCAAACTGCCAAAACCTGGAGGAGAGGAGAAGGGATTGGGTAGGCATGAGGAGATTAATAGAAAGTACCAACATGCTGAGGTAAACTTTACGCTTAGTGTCTCATTTGGGGACCCAGCAAAAAACTTGTGGCAACTCCTGCTTTCCATGCTACCTGTGTCCTGAAGGTTTTCCAAAATCCTGGAAAAAAATCTGAAGGCAGACAGTGTAGTGTGCTTGGTGAGGAATGCTGTAGAAATGTAAATTGAAGGAAGCCTTCAGGGAGAAGGCAGAAATCTATTCTGAGATCAAGGAATGCAAATAGACTGCTTATTACATCTGCATTCTGTGATCAGATCCCAGCACAGAGAAGAAAAAATTCACATCCACTTTAAAAAAATACATTAAATAATTCTCCTAATGGAAAATAGTTTGAGTGAAAAATAGAATGAAAAACAGAATGAAAATAGTGTACTGCTGTAAAACAGGTGAGAGAGGCAGCAGGCAACGTTTTACAGCAGAACTAGTTTGCTGCTTCTTTTTCTGCAAACTGAGACATATCCCATTTTAAACAAGAAAAGAAAGGGAAAAGTTTCTTTTCCAAGGCAAACCAGCCTTGAAGTGAATGACTAAGCCATCAGTATATTGAGTATACCTGTGATAACAGCAGGTACAGAATGTGTTAAGAATTTTCTTTGGCAAATGTGGACCTATGTTACTATGACAAGCAGTAGGGCATGATTTCACAAATCTATCTGTATGTGAAGGGTCACATTTTATAGTTTCAAAATATGCATATCCACATCCATTTGCATTTAGAGTCTGAAACACTGAATGTGAAATGCAAAATAAACCTAATGGACAACTATGAAATCCCTTTTTCAACCTGCCAGTTACTAACATGACAGTCCCTTGCAGGAGCCTGGTGTGGTTCCACATACCTCTTTGCTTTGTTTTCAAGATCACTGCTATTTAAACTTCATCTCTCTACTGCTCTCCTGTGTAGACTCTGCATCCCACCAATTCCCCCTGACATGATCATTCACCATCACTTCCACAGAGCACCATTTTTCACATGTCTCCACATTCCATAGGATGATCAGCCTTTCTCATTACCTAAATGTACTCCTCTCCTTTCTCATACAACTGACTTCAATGCACATTTTTCAGAAGAGCATATTTATAAGAAGAAATGTCCTCATTTCTTCTGTGTTAACACACTATGTTGTCACCCAAATGCTATCTTTCTGGACAAGAAAATAGATTTCTGTTTTCAGGAACATCTCTTGAATAGAAATACTGTCCTTCCAAAGGACAATGTCAAACAACACTGTAGGATGTGTAACACCAGCAGCTTTTTTACTTGTATGTCTATGGTCTGCAGCTTGAGAAATATAAGGAAAGAGCAAGGAGTATCCAGGCACCTCTTGTCCCTCTCCCTCAGACTGAAATCTGGGAGGAACACAGCGAAGTCTGAGCTGCTGGGTGGGAAACTGAACAGTACATGCCAGTGCTGAGAGAGCAGAAGGGAGGTGGAAGGGATAAGGACAAGGGACTAATCTTGTGCCATTCTGTCAGAGCAAGGTGCTCCAGCACAGCTTGTGTGGTTCCCAGCATCCAGCACGAGGGAAAGAGGGGATGGGAAACAGCAAAGAGGAGGCAGGAGCAAGATCAGGTAGGAAGAAACAGGACAGAAACTGTTTAGGTCCTTCTTGCAAAGGTCTAAAGATCATGAAGGGACTTTGGCCAAACTCTGCTCAGGCTGCCACCACACACCATGGCTCAGACTGGGGTTCTGGGAAAACTGCTCTTAGAGTGTCCACCTCTCCAGTTCCCTGCCTCCTTCCTGCCCCTGCTGATCCATCCTCCTGTTTTCTTAGCTGCCATTACTGCCCTTTTTCTTATTTCAGGAACTGTCATTTGCACACAGAAACAAACAGAGGAAATCAAAGGACTGTCCTGGGCTGTTTCAAGAGGCCATCAGGTCAAGGGTCATGATTCTCTCCCTCTATTCTGTTTTCCTGAGACTCCATCTCTAGTACTGCATCCAGCTCTGGAGCCCACAACACAAAACAGACACTGATCTGTTGGAGCAGGTCCTGGAGGAGAGTCCTGAAGAAGATTAAAGGGCTGGAGCACCTCTCCTATGAGGACAGGCTAAGAGTGTTGGGGTTGTTCAGCCTGGAGCAGTGCAGGCTGTGGGGAGGCTTTATTGCAGCCTTTTGATATACAAAGGGAGCTTATAAGAAATATGGGGACAGAGTTTTTACCAGACCCTGTAGTATCAGGACAAGGGGAACTGATTTTAAACTGAAAGAATGTAGATTTATACTGAACATAAGGAAGAATGTTTTGGAATTGGAATTACATGATCTTTAGGGTGCCTTCCAACCCAAACCAATTCTATCATTCTACAATTCTAAGAAATTCCTTTTGAGAGTGGTGAGACACTGGA